GTTTGTGAGAAGACAAGCTGTTCAATAACAGCATGAGCTCCAGCGTATAGTCGGGTCCAGGAGCTGAGCAGCTTTCACAGAGCTGATGCTACTTATTTTATCATTGTTTCTTCTTCTTGTCTAAACTGTCTGACAGACAGCAGCACTTCGTTTTACCTGTTAGGAAGAGACTCATCTGTCACCTGAGGACAGAAGTAAGAGGGAGAGGACACAAACATCTGATGGTGAGGCGGTGGTTTGGACTTCAGTGCATAGGGAGCCTGGGAAAGAAAGTGAAACACAGCACATACAGAGAGCTTATTTTTCTGACCCACTAAATTTTAAAATTAAAACACTGTTAATGAAGGGTGAACCGAGTATGAACACCAGAACAACAGGAAAAGCTAGGTGTGACATTTGGAAAATGATCCGCCTTAGATTTAATGACATGGACGTTTTTGCACAGAGGGAGATGACTACAAATTTCCTGGATTACGATAAGACAGCCCTGACTGTGTGCTCATGTTTATGACTGTTTGCTGTCTCCATATGTGTTCGGAATGCTCAGCAGTGCAGCGGCGCACTTTGGCCACAAGGGGGCTCACATACAGCACTCAGTGGAGAAGACTCATTTAAAATAGCCCATCCATCCATCCATCCATCCATTTTCCTCCGCTTATCCGAAACCGGGTCGCGGGGGCAGCAGTCTAAGCAAAGATGCCCAGACTTCTCTCTCTCCAGACACTTCCTCCAGCTCCTCCGGGGGAATGCCAAGGCGTTCCCAGGCCAGCCGAGAGACATAGTCCCTCCAGCGTTAAAATAGCCCTGTGTCCATATTATGAGACTGATCAGAACCAAAATCTAATCAGTTGTTCCATAGGCTGTACCTCACCTCTCCAACACATTTCATCAACATTCATTCATTACTTTTTGAGTTATGCCATTTAACAAACAAACCAGCAAATGCCAGCAATATCATTACCGCCACCCTTGAAAGAGGTAGTTATTGCAAGAGAGATGTTCTTAATATTTTTCAGAAAATGTGTTAGGACTCCAAGAGGGAGATTAGTGGTTGGTGTGGAATAAGCACATCTTTCACCGGATTTGTGTTAAGTCAACTTTATTATTAATATCTTTAAAAAACAGGGTTTGCAGACCTTTCACAGGAATACAGTCCTCTAAATAGGACCAGAACCTGGTTTTAACCTGTTGGAGGCAGATTGCCAGGAAATTTTCTGATGAGTCCTTGAACATTTAATGACCCCATGACCTTTCCTTTAGCACTATCCTGGGGAGAAAGTTCACAACTTTTAATTTTTACGTGAAGAAACGTTGGCTTCCACCCTACACAAGGCCGTTAAAAGAGATAAATTACAACCTAATGGTGGAATATAAAAAACACAAAAAATGTTAATGTGTAAATAATGTGGACAATGTCAAATACATGGATCAGTGTGAAATAAGCAAAGAAACTTTCACAGACCAGAGCAACATCTCTGAACTTATGACAAAGAAGAACAAAAAGTGCAAATTAAAACTCCAGAGGAACAGATAAACTGGCTTTTATTTTTAGCTGGTATCGTCTGCTGTCAGTCATCTGTCAGATGACTAACCCTAACCCACAGTGTTATAGCAGGGTCGACATCCGAGAAGGATCATAACTGCCCCAGTCTCCTCACAGACAGACAGGTGTGATGTGTGTGCTCAGGTGTGTGTGCGTGCTGCTGTGTTTGAGTGTTTGTGTGTGTCTGAACCTGCTGCATGAAGCTGTGATGTTCAGCGGACCAAGAGGAAGTTTGTTTGGATTCTCTGTCGACTTTCACACCGTTGACAACAAGTAAGAACTTTTAACTTGCCTTTTATTTCACCTTTACCTGCACCCTTAAATTAGCCCTTAACTAAATAAATTATGTTTAGTTAACCTTTAAAACCATAAATAAATCATAAGTAACTAACTAAATTTAACTTAATTTAAATAAACATGTAACTAACTAATTATTAATAATAAGAAGAAGTAGCTGTAGGCTACATTAAAAGGTTCTGGAGTCCTTGAAGATATTTGGGGCTGTAAAAGAAGTGGTTCTGTGGTTCTTGAAAAAAGTTTTACATGGAAGCACTGAGGTTTTGGATGAAGACGTTCTGAGGTTACAGACAAAGTAATTTGGTTTTTGGGTCCCAGAAAATGAAGTTCTGGGGTTTGTAAAGAGAAAATTCTCATTCTGGTGTGGAAATAGAAACACACTGTTTATCTGCTGTGTTTTCTGCAGATTTTTTGTTGTCATTGGAGCCCCCAAAGCCAACACCAGCCAATCAGGAGTGATGCAGGGAGGGGGCGTGTTCCTTTGTTCCTGGTCACCTGGAGGCGGGGCCTGTGACATCATCAATTTTGACCTGAAAGGTGTATTTGCAATCTATGTCCAGGAAGGTTAAAGTAGAGGCAGCAGCAGCTCACAATCATAATGTTGATGGAGGAACTGATGTGAACTTGGAGACTGAGGAGTGTCCTACCTGTCTTACCTGTCCTACCTGTCATACACCATACCTGTCCTACCTGTCACAGATCACAACTGTCCTACCTGTCCTATCTGTCACCCATCATACCTGTTCTGCCTGCCCTACCTGTCTCAGGTGATGAGGACTACAACAGTTCTGACGTGTTGTTTCACACCTTCAAGAGCCAACAGTGGTTCGGAGCTTCAGTTCGATCAGTCAACAGCACACACTTATTGGTGAGAACAAACATTTGTACTCCTGTACTTGTGAGGACACTTGCTGTTTATTTCTTCGCACAATTTCTAAGGAAGATTAAACAGAAAATTCAGATAAAAATAAAAAATTGGTTAAACCATTTGGCATATATGCAAACAATCACAAGTGCACACAAACAAAAAAGCAAATGTCTGATCACGTTTATTATTGTTGTTTTCAGTATTTACAATCAATATTTTTCAATCATTAAAAAGCATGTTTAAAAAACCACCTGTGAATAGATGTACAAAACTATTGAATTTCAGTTAGTAGGGCTTCCATTAGAAATTCTACAAACTTAAAAATTTAGCTGCTTTGACAACTGTGAAAGATCTAAATATAGTGAAATAATCATTCAAAATAGGTGGTAGAGTGTTAATTAAATTAATGTAGAACACAGTAAGCGTGGCAGATGGACCATGTTCCTATGTGGCCTATGCAAAACAAAACTCAAAACAAAACAAAAGAAATGTTTTGTGAGGACAGGCACGAGCTATACTGCAGTATTTCACATAAAAGGACATAATGCAGTGTATCTATAGTTTTGATACTAATCCCTGTGCTTTTTATTTTAGATGAAATCAAATTAATATGTGATTCCCAGGTCCACCACCACTCTTGGTGAGGTCCAAAATGATTTTACTTAACATTAAGTGAAAGTTAATTTAGGATTTATTCAGGTCATCATGGATCCAAAATCACAAACACATCCCCATTAATCCTTTAATTCCCCTGTTTCCCAAACTGCCTAAAATCCAAAGAAAATGAGTCTAGAACATATCAGAATTGTGTTCTTGTAGAGAAAACCTGTGCAGGTCATTAAACTACCGAGAGGTGATGACCAGACGGGCATCACACTGAGAGCTGATGAGCATCCTGCTGTAGATAGCTGGCAACAAAAAGTGTATATACCAGTCAGATGGCAGTAATAA